TCCCTTTATGTGCTAGCAAATCGCTAATTTAGATACATGGTAGTTATCTAATGACCTGTTTAACGCTATTTATTAACTATATGACATCTTTCAATACGAATTTTTAGAACTTAATTGACTCAATGGATGTTATATGAAGGTATTGGAGTCGTTTCCTCGCAATCAGAGGGTTTGTGCCCTAGAGATGAATGACTCACTGTGCATATTACCGAATCTGCAGGTGTGATTGTCTTTTCAACTCATCTTTGAGATGTAATATTTAACAGGAGCATATTAAACATATTCAGTGATAAATCATGAGAAAATACTTAGAGAAAAAAACATATGACGTTATTTTTTTAAATAGTATGTAGTTTTTAGGGCTTCAATGTGTCATATATCACCTCTACTGTCTTCGATAACGTTGACAAATTATGTGTTTTAATATATATTTTTTTTAATTTGCCTATTTGAACAAATAAATTTCTCTATTTTGATTTTCTACTTTGATTTTGAATTTTCTAATTTTTATTTAAAAATTTTAATTTTATTTTTGTCACGCTTTGATTTTAGCTCGGTTCACTTGCAATTTCCGTGGAAAATTAATTTATGCTTCATGCAATCGAGTCCTTGCCTCCTTTTCGTTTTATTGGAAAACAGAGCACAAATCAACTTTGCATTTGATGTTCAAATTAAAAACAATGCAACACCTTTGATTTTTCAAGCGATTTCATTTTTTATGGTATTATTACATGATGGTTATAAAACACAATCATGCCAATCCACTGATGTGACGTGACACAGTGTGTATAACTCAACAAAAACTAGTCAAAATCTAACGCTATGGATTAATTGAAATAAAATATAAAAATATTCCTTTATTGTTAAATATCATTAATAATATCAGTCATATTTACTTACTTACTTACCGCTTACTACTAATGTCGGTCATATATCACTTATAATAAGAAGTTTCCTTCAAATCGGTTTCACTCAGTCCACTATTTCAGTAGTAATTAAATAAAATTTCCATTTTTTACCCTTGACCTTGTCTTTTGAGAACAGATCTTCAATAAGCTGCAATTCAGGGTCTGAAAGCAATAATTATAACATCTTACTTAATGGAGCAAAACTGAAGGAGCTTTATCCCAAACGGCACAATGTATCCCTTATCTAGCTCCCGAGAAGTCGGAATATGAAGCGAATTAAGAAAGCTGATGATCTATCAAGTGAAAAACTTTAGTAGAATCGCTTCTTACTTGATTGAATGTGGCTTGAAGAGCTGAAAGAGTATTCCAGGATGTATTATTATTTATCGAGGAAGTGGGAGATACTATAAACAACGATTTAAATATACTATTAAGTTAACTTTAGATTTTTTACCGATCATTTATTATAAACTTAAGCATCTTTATATTGCTCCGTATTTTATGAGAAGCAACAAAAAAGTCTTCTAAATAGATAAATCTACTACAGATAAATGTAGGACAATTATGGAGAAAATGTTCAGACACTTCAGTAACCATTTCACAAAAGCGACAATTACTGGTATCTGTAAAAGTTATTTTGTTGAGGGTACCTTAGTCTACAGATCTCCGTCAGAAACCCAGTGATTGTTTTGATATCCTTTGTGCTCACAGTAAGGGGTCTATTAGAGACCATCTTACATGTGTTAATAAATCTCTCAGCCTGTCAAAAGCATATACATTTCATTTAATAATTTTTAAATTGGGTGTTTACACAGTATGTAAGTTTTTCCACTATGCGCTTTCTCGTCAGAATACACAATGGATGCATATGTTTTCATACAGCATGCACTAGATTTAAATAAGCTGCCTATAAAAACAATCACAGACTTGGTAAGGAAGATGATGGACTAGATGGACTCATGAGTTTACTTATCCCTTCAATCAATCAACTATCTTCTATATCGTTGAAGAAGAATAAACTACATGCATGCTTATATTATGTGTAGATTATATATATTTAACAGTTATATATATGAACAGTTAATCATATTCCTCTAAAAACCTCAATGAATACAACGAATACTTCGCAACTTAGCAACTTAGAATTTCAGAAACATTGTTCTTAATCCGTACTATGTTGAACAATTTTATGAAGATGATCATATTAAACTATCATCCTAAGATTAATTGTAAGATTTGAAATTAGAAAAGATTTTCAGACAACTTGGTTTTTATTTATAGAACCTCAGTGTAGTTTAAGTACAATCAAATAATATTAGACAGAATATAAAAACTGAAAGTATCTGAAATAAGTTCAGCTTAGGAATAATCAGTATGTTTCCTTATAGTGCAGAAGATTTTTGTATGATATTCAGGAAGAGAGTTGTCTACCCTTGTCACCCTTTAGAAATTTAGTAAATTTTTCCATTAGTCTAAACAAAAATCAAAAAAACCAAAAAAAACATATTCACGGATTCCAAAACTCATGCCACACCACCATGAAGTCTACTAAAAGTATTGAATGGTTTAAATTTACCGGTATAAAACGATTTCAGCGTCTTTAACGTGTTCCAGCATTTCCATGGCGTTACGAAATTGTTCTATTTTGTTAGAGATTTGCCATATGAAGTGGACAGGCGTTAGATGTCATTTCGTTAGAGGAAAAGAAATTGCTGCAAATTCGAATCGCAACAACAAGGCCACATTGTTAGTACTTGTGATGGCATATGAAACACAATCTGCATTATTTGTACAATACTGGACAGTTACATAAACAACAATACAAGCAACAATAACAACAACTACAGTTGGGACAGCAGGAACACTGTGAGCTCTGAGTTTGGTGTGACAGTAGTGACAACAATTCTATCACCAACAATGTGAACAAAACTGGGATGAGTGCATCAACACAAAATGCTGACAGCGCAGGTGACAACAGTTGAACGACAATTGCCGCAGTCACGTAAGGATCAAAGAGCTCAAGTGCACTGACGAGTGGCCGAATTAAATGAACGTGTTTCACTTTGAATGCTCACAGGAGACAAATATGGGAGCAAGGATGTGGATGGCATTATACAAAAATATGAAGAAAAAAGCTAAAAAAAACTAATACTTACAAAAAAAGCTTAGTTAAAATGCCATAAAATCATGCTTAAAGCGCAATGGTCAACGTATTTCATATCCTGCATGTTGCATCCTGTGCTGTGCACACGTATTCGGACGAGTTCATAAAGTAAGATTGATGCTAGAAGCTGAAGGCCATCTATTTTCGCACAATGGTACATATAAACGGTTGAATGCTGGACGAGAGATTCACGTTTTATAACTTCTGTCGTTGCCTAACTTGTTTATTCGGCATTTGAAGCTTTGTATCTCAATTTTCGATTAAAGCTTAAAATGGAGCGTGTCAAATTTTTTTCCTAATGCCCAAATGTATGCAATGAAAATTTTAATGTGGCGGAGTCAGTAGATTCTGTTTGATTTCAAAATAAATTTTTATTTTTTTTTCAAAGCGAGAGATATTCACAAGAGAACTATTCTAATGTGAGAATTTATTTGCTGTGTGACTTAATAATTTTTATATAAATTTCAAGAAATTATTACCCAAATTTATTTGTATCCTTCATAACCACCATTATACCACCTGTAAATTTTTCTCACTTTGGCAACACACAACTCAATCCCAGCACATATCCACAAATATCAACACAACTCAACTCATGTCGCATTTATGAAAATCTCCTGTATTATGTAAACGGCTCAGAAAGGATGTAATAAGGCTTCGCCAAAAGGACTTTGCAATGGATTTTTCACTTGAGCGCATCAGCATAGAATGCATGTAGACAAAGCAAAACATTTGCATATGGCGATTCCCTGGCAATCGCTACGTTTATTGAAATCTATCGCCGATTCAGGTAGACGCAAACTGTTAAAAAGTAAAAGAAGAAGCAGCACAAATACTAAGTCCATAGCACAGCAAACAAATAAAATAATATTTATTCAGGACTGGTTATGCTCACATATAAGTATGTGGGCTGATGGTTGAGTATGAAAACGAATATATTTTTTGAAGAATTTAGAACACACATCAAAGGAACATGATTTCGTTTTGATATATTTTATGTTACGAAATATTTAGATTTTTACGGGTTTCACAGATAGTTTTTAGTTATGATGAAATAAAATGTCTGCTAATGTAATGTAGCTTGAAAATCATATATAATGAATTAAAATGTCTAATGTTTTGTTAATGTTAAAGAATAAGATATTTGCTTTAGTAACAAACGACGTGGTGTGACCTTTACAGACTACTTAAAAGAAGAAGGTCCACCGTCACTAAAACCAAAACAACAAAAACTTTTATTAAAAATATTATAGTACCTTTAGTTCTAGGATAATATTTTTATAAATTACATCTACCTAGCTATCTACCACATATCAATCTATTTATCTATCCCAAGAACTTTAACCCACAAACATTTCTTTCGTCCGGACAGTTATATCCTCCATTTGTTGATATTGTCCTTAATTTCCAAGTGAGTCACACAATCCATTTATTAAGCCGACAATATTTATTGGCAACACACATCTTGAAAATAAAAGTTATATCCACTCTTTCCATCTTAAAGTGAAGGCAGTAAGATAAGAAGTGTTTAACGCTTTCCAGGAATGTCTCTTTAGTTATATTTGAAAAAGTATAGCTTGAGGCATTCTTCATAATTAATTTATAATTTAATTCTATGTGTTTTCTATGCAACCATATGTATATCTAAGGAAGGTCATATGGCACCATATGACACCATGTGGGTAGAATACGCATGGAACCGCTGTTACATCTATCTATTTATCTATCGATCAGTTTCACTGTTTATCTATCTATCGATCAATCTATCTATGTATACATTTATTAATTCCTGAATTTTCTTCAAAACATCTCATTTTATTATTTTTGTATCTAGTTACCACACATTACTATTTTAAATTAATTGATCTAGTATACAGTTTAATTATCAAATATTTTTTATATCTATTGAAATAAACAAACACATCATATAAAATTTTTTTGTCTAGTAATGACAATCTCTTTTGCTTTTCTTGAAAAATATCTAAATTTTTTGTAACAATATTAAGTATTTCGCTATGTCGTTAAACAAAACCATTTTTGATGCACTGGTTAACCAACTACTTGGAATGGTACTAGTGTTCCCAGTTTCCTTAGTAAGTATTCAATCAAAAGAAAAATCAAACGCCAACAATTTTTTAATTTCTATAAAAATAAATTATATAGATGGATAAGGATGGTAAAATAGTTAAGGAATCGAGGGCATTTGAGGTTGGCAAGATGGTTAAAGATCGTACAGCAGGGACGACCGATAAGACAGTAATGGACAATAAGGAAAGGCCGAAAGACAAAGCAGTTAACGACGAGAAGATAGTCAAGGATGGAAAGACAGTGAAGGATAGAAAGACAGTGAAGGATGTGAAGATAGTTAAGGATGGGACGACAGTGAAGGATGGGACGACAGTGAATGATGGGACGACAGTGAATGATGGCAAGATAGTTAAAGATGTAAGAGTAATCAAAGTTAATAAGCAAGTACAGAAAACTGAAAAACCCAAAAAAGACTTAATAACTAATAACAGCAATGTGTCATTGCTCGTAAAAGAAGATGATAGCAATACCGATTTAAACGTTTTGCAAGCCATACGTAACACACAACAACATCTAATGACTCTTGTTGAACATACAGTTCAACTGGAAGCGAAGTTTAAGCAAACAGCACAAAGCAGCAGTTCGAAAAAAGAAGAACCTGCATTGAATTTACCAAACTCTGTAGCGAATTCGGAAAAACCTGCAGTCGCACAAATTACACAAAACTGCAATTTGATTAAAAAAGATCCTTTGTCGTATTCTCGAAAACTTGTACCGAATGCCGAAAAAGCTACACCTACGAAAACAACACAAAACCCCACTTCGATCAAAGAAAATCATGTGTTAAATTTACCATGTGCTGTGCCGAGCCCAGAGAATCCCACACAAGTAACACAAAGTTGCAGTTCGCCAAAAGAAGATCCTGTATCGTGTTCACCAAACTCTGTACCGAATCCAGAAAATCATATGTCCATTCTTGAAAAACCGTTTCCAGATATGAATGACTATAAGGTGACCATTATAACGAAACGTAGTAATGAAATTTTAATCAAATTTTACCGTAATTTACAAAAACATAAACCAAACGTTTGTTTCCGCAAAGAACGACATAAAACAAAAATGGCAAGTAAATTTCCTACAATACAGAAGATGAATGAAAATAGGGTCCGTCGTACCCAAATGGCTCGTGAGAAATCTATTTCGTTAAATCATGGAATGCGAATTAAATACTTTTCAACCGAAAACCTATATGGAATATCATTGACAACATCACAATTTAAGACGGGTTCGAGTGGTGTTGGATCATACCCTTCTTTTAAACTTGGACCAACACATGTTAAACTCGAGTCTCCTGAAAGTTTTACTAAACTGAACTCTGGTATACCATCCACATATTATTTCTCACCTTTCGTTAAGAAACAATCTGTTAACAGCGTTTCACTGCCTGACAAGAAACAACCTCGTTTCCCAGAAGAAGAATGGCGAAAACAGAAAAATCGCAAATTGCGACCATCGTTGATTAACGCAGATGATATCGAGATGGAGTAATTATTATCTTGAATGTATATTTATAGTATAGTAGACAATAATTTGGAGGTCTTATGGAATAAATACAATATTAAAGTCAAGCAAACAAATTATATTTTTTTACATGATGTATTGATTGAAATAATGCTCGAAGAAGATCCAAATTTGGAACTAAAGTACTTAGATGTAAAGTTAAAGAAAAAATGAAACGTAAAATTTGTCTTAATTTGGGACTTATATCTTTAGTTACCGGATTTTCCACATGAAAACGATAGAAATATGATAGGTGAATCGTTGGATGAAGACATTTCGTCTTCAACTAAAAAAATTAACAAAAAAATTAAATTAATAAATTTAATACGAGTGTCACATTTATGTAAAAACAATTTATTATTATTTATTAAGTAATAGACTATGTATGCACTCCGACTTGAAAGTTCTATTGTGCGCCTAAAGGCCCAACTAAGAAAGATAAAAGATTCTAGAGTATTTATAAATCTCGTAATTGCTCTGGGTTTAATATTACCTATTTGATTTGGGACTAAAATCCCGCTTTCAAGGTAGTCAAGTGTACGTCTTGCCGCCACAGGGCAATAGCATAGAACATGTTCTGTTGTTTCTTTCTCTTCAAGAATCACTTTCGATCGCATCTATATCCTTCATCTGGTTATGAGTCTACAGTGTCATGTAAGAAACTCAGTGTAACAATTTAATGTGTTATATATGTAATTCCATTATGATGAGTACTTTCAAATATTGATGCCCTTAATCAGAAAGAAAATAAACTACCAAGAAATCAAATTCGAAAACGTTCGTTTCGCCTCTAGTGGTCAAATACCTCGCTTAATAAAATCATACTAGGTGTCTTGGATAAAATATTTATATGGTAAGAAATGTTGGTGCAACCTTCTCAGGTTTAAGAATCAACTAAGTAATACCGCCACCTATTGGTCATGCATGGTTGTTGTCTACGTTAATTATGCCATAAATTTAGTATGCCTTTCTATAAAATTGTTCTTTAGTTTAATATTTCATTGGTAATAAAACGAACTAACCAATAATTTTTTATTATTTTATTATTATTGCAGTAAGTAATAACTTAAGTCTCAATGCTGACTTAAGTTATGCTTAAGTCATCAACTTAGCTGACGTAATTCATACTTAATACAGTTTTAAGACTTAAGTTGCGACTGTGCTTAATTTTATTTTTAAGGATATTATTTTATACATTTTGAAATATACTACGAAGTAATAATTTTACTTTCAGACTGCATTATAAGTTCTCAGACGTATTTTTCATAAGGTTCATAACACAATTAGTTTTAAAGAGCATAAAGATTAAAAAAAGTTGTAATGATTGTAGCCTATAATCTATATATGTACGTATATATACATATATTGTAGTCCGCCATTAACAATGGAGACAAAAGAGGCCAGTATTTAAGAACACTATAATCTTGGAAGTACGATAGAAAGAATTAAAACAAAAATTTGAAAAATTGCTAAAAAATATAACTTCAAACTTTAAAACGGATCTTTTATCTAGTTCATTAGTTATATAGATCGTTAAAAAATTTTTAGAACCCAACATTTGATATAAACTAAAGTTGTATATAATTAAATTTTTGACATTTTTGATTAACATTTTTAGAGGACGAGAAATCTAGATCGCTTTAGAATCTCGATTATAGAGGAATAAAATAAAAATCCTTTTGGCTTCAGTAAACCTGCAGTTCTTGTATTTACTAGAGTACTTATAAAGCTCTGTGCAATTGAAGCAGTGCTTCATCAGTGACAATTGGATTGTGGAAAAGTTGCAATGATGAAGAGAAAATAGAATCTATCAATCATTTTCTATGTTTTGGTCCAGGAATATGAACAAAGTAGAGATAATGCAAATAAATTTTTTGGCTTTTCTTAGCTATATTTGTAATACGATATGATACACGAAGATAATAATGTTTAGTGTAACTCACCGCCTCAGGCAACACTCCATGTTTTAATCCATAACTGCGGACGAAGCAACTTTAAAGTCTTAGAATTCGTTATTTCATTGGCCTAGAAGAGACACTGTAATTAAATTTGTCGGATTTCTTTAGTTTAATCTGGAAGCCCAAATAATTAAACAGAAATAATACACAAAAGTAACAACTTTTAGTGTTACTAACTGTCTTAGGCAACTTTTCATATTCCGATCAAAAATCACAGTTCTAAAAGTCTTTGGTTTAAGCAGCGGAAGAGGTTCGTGGTTCTATATTTACCTTTTTGCTTGGATTAACAGAATATAGTGCCTTTATGGTCATTTTCTTTATAATAAATTTGCTGTCATAGCAGTTACTGCTGCAGTATTTTACTTAATGGAAATTATTGTATTTAATAGAGACGTTTCGAATAGTAGTAAATTGCAAGAACAAAATTTTTTTTTATTTTAATTAATTAATTTTTTGATTGGCCATACAGCAGTTTCGATGATTGTCAAATCCCCATCATCAGTGTTCTTGAAATTATTTCTTACATTTAATTATTCGTTAATAATATTTTGAGACTGCAAGTACCAAGCATTTAAATCGTACCCTGCCATACTTGAAGATCAGAGTCAGCGTTAGCCAACTGACTCAAAGCCAAACTTGATTGTATGTTCAAACTTGGAGTTTTGTTAATTTGCTGTTTCATTTTATTTTAAAATAATGGAGCATTAAATTAGGCACTAAAGCAAAGAGAACATAGTCTCACTAGAAGTTCATCGTTATTTCAGATTCTTCTTAAATTTTTGGCAAAAGCATTAGCACCTTTGATTTTATACTCTGTGGGGTTATCATCATCAATCCAGTTACTTTTACTGATATCCAGAGAACGCGTAAAACTTCAAGTATTTCTCATCTATCAACAGTCATCACAACATCAATAGGATTTATTTAATTATGTTAATTATTAACAAATTTCCCAAACTATTTAATTCACATTTTCGAAAGATTTCTAACCATCAAATATGCTTTAAACCTACTAAGACAGGAAATGAATATGTGCCTTCAAATCCCCAAATATGAACTTATGTCTTTTAATTTCACATTGCGTCAGATACTTTTGCATCTTTTTTACACAAGTGGCAATCTTCGTCAATTTCTGCATATAAATTTTTTTTGGATTCTGCGCTGTTTTATTCCTCGTCTCTTACTGTATGTACAGCTATTTACTCTTTCCTCCTCCCTACACAATGGAAATACGTTTGGGGCATGTACACTTGTGTGCGCCTATCGTCAGCAACAAATCTCATTGCCCGCCTGAATTGTCCTTAAGTAAAGACTACGAAACGAAATTTTTTGAAAAAACAATAAATTTTATCACAAAAGCAAAAGTAAAAGAAAAAGAAAACAAGAAAAATTATTTTAAAAATTTTACCATAAATTTATTTTAATTTTTTTTGTTTTTATCTACCAAAAAAAAGATTGTGTAGAAGAAGCAGTAAGACAACCTGTTGGCGCGTAACTTCACCAATAATTTCTGTACAGATTTTAAAATTTTGAAACTTGCGCATTCTAAACGCGCTGCCATGAGAAATTTGAGATACAAATAGGTAAGGAGGAGGACGAGGACGTGGACGAAACCAAACACAAGAGGCACATGTTGAAAGCTGCAAGATAAAATGAGTTGTACCGAATAATATTGAAACTTAAGGTACTTTGTACTCGTACCTAAAGAATTTCATTTCGTATAAGAATTCCCAAAAATCACTAAAGTCCAATCAGTAGAGTAGAAGCACACACATCATAATTTCTACTGAAAAAAAGGAAAGAAAATAAATTGTATCTTGCCGCAGTCGCAGATACTTTTCAAACATATAATTTACTGCGATATATGCCGCGTACAATTATCTGAAATAAAGGCTGTGCAGAGACTCGCGAGGAACAATAGGTAAGGTAAGGAGTAGGTTAGGTCGAGCCCCAAATATGTGCGCTCGAGAAAGACGTCATTGATTGCAATTTTGTTACTGTTCTTATTATTAATACTCTGTTGATGTTATTGTTGTTGTTGTTGCTGTTGTTGCTGTTGCTGTTGTTGCTGTTTCTGTTGTCGATGCTATTTTGTGTATGTGAGAATTATTTCGTTCTGCAAACAGTTTTACTAAGTAAAGTCCGTTGAAATTTAATTTATAAAAACAGTTACAGTTTTACGTGAATGTGGAAAAGGCGTGATTTCACGAAGGAAAATATATAAATTTATTTTTTTAAATATATACCTAAATATATACTAATAAAACTGAATTAAATTCAACAAAAAAAATAATTTTAAGTAAAATAAAAACAATTATTTTAATTACAAAATATTTACTCTGAATTAAAGTCAATATTTAATAATAATTAAGTGAAAAATGAGTATATAATATATAAACTAATTACACAACATCCTACAACAAAACAAAAATTAATTAAAAAAAATAAAATAACTATACAAAGTAATAAAAAAAATATTCAAGTGAAAAATAAATAAAAATCTTCCAGTAATACAAATTAATAAAATAAATTAACTAAATAAATTAAGTAAATAAATTAACTAAACAAATTAACTAAATAAATTAAGTAAATAAATTAACTAAATAAAGTAATTAAATAAACTATTTTATTTTCTGTTAAACTGAGAGCAAGCAAGGTTTATGTAAGTATCTTATAACCTAACTAAAATGTTTGTTACTTTTTTTTGTTTGTTTGTTTTTGTTTTATTTTATTTTTTTTATGACTCAAACTAAACTTAATTAAAATACATAAAAAACATAAAAAAACAAATATACTAATTTTTATACTTAATAAGATTTTGTCCTTCAGATTTGAAATAGAAGTCATCTAGTGGCTTTGTTGTTGTTATTTTGTGTAAGCAGGCGACTTTCGCATTTGCCCTTTCAAGGCTGTTAAGCATTTTACATTTTTTTCTTCTGCAAAATTCCGCCTCCGCGGCACGAAAGACGCGTAGTAATTTCTACTACGTCACAAGAATTTGTATAGAATCGAAAAAGAAAAATAAAATAAAAAAGAATAAAATAAAAGTAAGCATTTTATAAAAGGAAACTGTCCAAGTCTATAAATACTTTCTTATATACATGCATACATACATACATACATACAACATACATACCTTTTTTTGTGTGGAAAAATTGAATGAAATGAGTTTTTTATGTAAACGCTCACATGTTGACAAAATTAGTTTACAGCGCTGCAAAGTGTTTACGCTATTTACATATCCCACTCACACCACTAAACACCTTACATACACTGACTGGTACGTGTTAATTACGTTAATAGCTTTTAAGTTTGCGCCTAAATGCAGGCAGTGAAATTCTTGAACACCACTTGCTGTTTGCTTTGCTGAT